CGTGACACCGGCTCTCAAAGGAATAGTAGCAGCTCCTTTAAAATCGATACTTTCTACGATATATTTTATCTAGTGTAAAGACATTTCTGATTCATTGCCCATCACGGTGACAATATTCAATATGTTACGACGAAAACTTGATTTTATGATAACAAAGCTCTTGAGAACGAAAACTTATGTATATAAATATAGAAACTTTAATTTGAAGCATAAAATCATATGTTTCAAATCAAAGAACGATGCATTGAAAGAATCGGCTTTTCAATAATTCTATTCCTTTTGATAATAATCCATTTTTTAAATAATTGAATATGAGCCATTGTGCTTTGAGATGATATTTTTAATCAGAAATAGTAAATAGGGATACAAAGTTTTTCGTAGGAAATGCTGCTCTTTAACGTATATTGCGCTTCCTTTCTTCCTTTCCTTTTTTCGTTTATCGATTTTTTATTTTTTTCCACTTGCTTCTTTATCCGGCAGCTTTTAGCAGAAGCTTTTCTGTGTCCACCAAATAATCGCGTGATCTAAGTGTAGTGGTAGTCGTGCTTTCAGCAGATATCTAGATGCACCGCACCGCTTGCTACATTGCGCTGCATCTTGAAACTCACCATCAGATAGATAAAGAATTCTATAGATTTCATCTGTATATAAATAGATTTATCTACATTCTGTACGTAGAAATTCAGACATATATGTCTATACATATAGAATGTAGATGGATCAATTCATATATAGATGTATATATAGAATTGTGAATACATAGAATGTGTTAGATACATCGCAATTTTATTTAGAGATACAGTTTCTTTATCATTTGAAAGTAAAATATTCTACAGAAAAAAATTTTATTTGTTTTTCTCACAACTTCTTAACTTTCAATATATATTTTAGTAGCTAAAGTTTAAATTAAAATTCTGTTAAAGTCAAGTTTACTTTAAGCTTCAATCTACTTTAATCTTTAATCGCCTATAACAAGAACTATTGGTATTTTAATATTAAAAAAATATTTTCTTAAAGTTTTACTTGTAGTACTCGTGGTCGAGATAACACTTGCACTTACTTTGGATACCATGTAATATATATATATATATATATATATATATATATATATATTCATATATGTATGTGCGCGCGAGCGCGCGCGCGTGTATGTGTATGAAACAGCAATAGATGAGGCGCGATGCAAAGTTTCCCTCGCTTTTGCAGAAACTTCCAAGTTCCGATCTTGCCAGCAGCTTGCGGCATCAGTCGAAATTCAGAAAAGTCAACTTGTGGCTGGAATTGAGTGCTAAGTGATTTCTACTGTTTCCGATGCAGCAATAATATCATTGCTTCTTAGTGTGGCATCCTGATCTTATGTCTTTGATGTTCGTGTGACTGTCGTATAATAGTATAGGCAGCTGAAGAGTCGTGGGAAGACATCCTTTCGCGCGTCTCCGTGTCACAGCTTACGGATCACCTGTCGAAATTCTCACAGTATATACTATAATGCTCGAGGGAATACGTTCTGTCATGCGAAGAAAAAGATCACGTTAAGTATTTATAAAATAATGACAATTTAAAGGTGCATCTACCTTTTATAGATATGATATCTTGGAAGAAGAATAAAAGTGTTGAATAATGACATTTGGAAAGAGCATAAATGCCCACATATGCTGTTATACAAATAACATTAGACAAAAGTAATATTTTTCATTATAATATAATTTCCTTTATTTTCACCTTTTTATAAATTGCGTCATTTTTATTCTTGTGCAAAATATAAATTCTTTACGCCATTTCTTGATATTCGTGAGAGCGATTCATTTTACGAGCCCTCATATGTTATGACTGATCGATATTCGCGCAGGCAGGTTGTGCATGTCTACGTACAAACAATCGCCGCATGCTAATTATATGTCGTGACACGAGTACGCTTGCGAGTCTGCTGTTAATCGTATGCGCGTTTTTCCTCGTAGGCTGCAAAAAAGCCTATTGCTCTTTCCTCTGCAACTATCACAAAGTACGTTATAAATAGAGTGCAACATGAGGATACTCGAGTCAATGCCGGCGAACGTGACTGAACAATGATGTCTCCGAGTGTTTTAGAGCGGCCTGGCGCCCCACTTCAACAGCCAAGAGGCTGTAGTCGCTTTTAACATTGTACATGCTATTCTCAGCATGTATTGTACATACGTTAACGTACATGTGTGATGCGAGAGGAGAATTAGTTCTGCCGCCATTTAAAATATTCTCTAGGTTTCTCGGACAGTTCCGTCATGAGGAAGTGGCTGTGCCAGCATTTTTACGTCTCTGACATTCCACTTTCCACTCTACGATGCGGCGTTATTAATATGACAGCAGTGATTGATTCTTTTTAATTTAGCTCGGTGATTTGTTTTTATTTTTCTCTATAATTATTTGTAATTAAATTCTAATTATTACTTTAGAATTAATTTAATATCATTTTCAAATATAAGATTTTTAATGTAGAGCGTTTATTAATAATAAGAAATATAGTAATAATGAAATTTTTTGTATCTAATACACATACATAAACATTGTTTTACATGTTAAAAGATTTGTGTATAAGTTATTATATACAAGTAATTGTGGCATAAATGATAACGAAATGAATAGCATCGATATTGGACACTAGAAAATTGCAAATGTCACAGCGTATCTTACGAGGCGAGACAAATAAGTTCAAGTACGTTTTACGCGACAGGTCGCTTGGGTGTCTTTCCAGTTGTAGAAACCTTTATACGACGACGTGGCAACGAAAGCAAGCTGACGAAAAATAAAGTGAGAACAAGAGACAGTGCAGGAGAAGGAAGAGAAGTAAGGTAACGAAAGATTGAAAAAATACAAATGTTTGCTATATTTAAGAGATTGATAGAATATCAGAATAGAAAACGGGATAGAAAGAACACGTTGTTTTTGCTAATTTGCTAAAGACTCTTCTAACTTGTGGCTCGTGGAGCTATTAATTCGCTGCACGAGAAACGCGATATGTTCTTTCGTTGGCGTACAGCTTCCTTCTCTTTACGTCTCGCTTTTTCGAAAGACTGATTAATTGCGTCACTATCCTTATAAATTGCTTTGTTTGCATTAGTCTTGCCGTGCCGAATGAATGCTCGCTAATGGATCGTTTCAGCCAGAATAATCATTGCAAAGCACTAGTGCACCGACAGAGACGAATCGCGAGGGTAGCGATGGTGATATTATCTTGGATAAATGATTGTATTCGCATTAACGTTGATACTGTAATGATTCACATTTCTCTCTCCATTAGCGCAATCTTGCGCCCTGTCATGTAAATATTGTCATGTAAATATCTGTAAAAAACATTAAAGTTATATAAAAGACATAAAAAGTTATTTTAACTTTGAGCCTTTACGGTCACGGCTGGATATAGATGCCTAATAAATTCTATATGAATTTTTCTGAAATCCACGTACAGCCGTTAAACTGTGCGCCGATTAAATGTTCGGACTTGAAACGCAATTATAGATCGGAAGAGCACAC